ATGCAGCTGGTGGAGCAGCTGGAGGTGCAGCCAGACTGCACACATCCATACATCCCCCAGCATGCAGCTGGTGGAGCAGCTGGAGGTACAGCCAGCTGCACACATCCATACATCCCTCAGCATGCAGCTGGTAGAGTAGCTGGAGGTGCAGCCAGACTGCACACATCCATACATTCCTCAGCATGCGGCTGCAGAACCCTGCAAGCATGCCCTCCACAGGCTCTGCCCCTGTGTGCCCAGTGTAACCCAGTAGACACGCAGGAGAAGACTGGGCAGGTGGAGATAGCTGGGTCTCTAGGGCTCATTGGCCATTTGCTCATAGCTTAGCAAATATGCTGAGTTCCAGGCCAGTGAGAGGAAAAGCAGGCAAATGGTATCTGAGGTTGTCCTTTGCCTCAGTCCAATGTGCACACAGCACATACACACACCCCCACACACATGTGCACACCACCAAATAGGAACACAAGCATGTGCACCCCCCCCCACACACACAATCACTTCCTTCCAGAACTATTAAAATACATTAAAGGCAGGAGCTGGAAGTGCAGCTCAGTGCTTGCTTAGCACAGACAAGGCCCTGGGTTCTATCCTCAGCGATGCCAAAAGAAAAAAGAAAAAGAAAAGAAAAAAGAAAGGCGCACACTGCTATCTTTGCTGCCTGGGAAAGAACTCTTCTGGAGAATGAGAGGTGAACTTATTCCTCTGCAAATCTCCTCTCCCCTATCCTAGAGGAGCCCAGAGTCTCCACAGAGTGCAGATTTTTTTTTTTTTTATCAGATCCAAGGGAAGGTTCGGGGGCTTCTGAGACAAGGTGGACCTCCACTTGGGAACCAAACAAAGGCTCATCAGTGTTGCAGCCTGGGCTTGCTGTCTCAGGGTAGGCGATGTGAGGAGCCTGTCACTTGGCACTGACGATGGGAAATGAAAAGCAGGGCTGCCTCAAACGCATCTGTAGCCAGGGTGACTCGTGTGTTTGCAGGCAGCCAGGCTGGGAGTTGGAAGTGGTGTGATGAATTGGACCTCATCAGATGTTGCTATGGCTGGGCCAAGAGACAGTGCCTAATCAATTCCTCACACGTCAAGTGACACTTCCTACACGGGATAGATTCGCTGTCGCTCAGCACAGCAGCCGCTCATTTCCCACCGGGAATTGCTTCTGCTCAAGTACTGCGGAAGCTGTGCGTGCGTGCGTGCATGCGTGCATGCGTGCGGGGGAGGACTGCTGCTGGCCCCCAGCCCTTTCAAGCAGGGAGACTGTTTTCAGTATCCAAACATCTCCCAGATCCATGCTCTTGTCCTGCCCAGGTCACCAGCCACTTAAAGCTGGAAGACACTTGTTTGTGCTTTCTAATGACCTTACTTTTATTCACCAAAATAGTGCACACACATGTGAGAATGGGCTCCTTTTTACAGCCTGCAGACAGGCTTTGGGCTCCTATGGGTGCCCCGCATCCATGGGCTCAAGTTGTAGTGCTAGAGGTCTGCAGGAGGCATGGAAACGGTCTTCCAGGGGAGCAGGCTTCATAATCACATTTTTCTATCACTTTCCCAACAACATTGAGATCCGTTTCGGCCTCAAGTGCTCTCTGCTAAGTAGCAACTAACTGTTGGAAGTCTAGGGTAGCAGCCAGCACTTACCCAAGGTCCTGGCTCTGCCAGATGCTGGGTGAATCATTTGGGTGATGTAGCTAGTTTACCCTGACTAACTACCATGGTACTACACAGAAAACCTGTCTCACATATGGGGAGGCCTAGAGAGATGAAATGATGTCCTTGTAGTGGAGCTGGCTCTTGAGATCTCCCTCTACTGCTTTTGTGGAGATGAGGGACAGATCCTGCTGAGAGGCCTAAAAGGAAGGGGTCCATTCAGGGAGGAGGGGAGTGAGCCCAGGATATGTGCTCCTGGCAGAGGCAGCTACATAGGCAAAAGGTCTGGCGACAGGCTGCAGGATGATCTGGCTTAGTGGGTAAAGGCGCTAACCACCAAGCCTGATGACCTGAGTTTGATCCCTGGGACCCACATGATGGAAGGAGAGAACTGACTCCTACAAATTGTCCGCTGATCTCCACACGCGCGCGCGCGCGCGTGCACACACACACACATACACACACACACACACACACACACACACACGTAATATAAAAAAAATTAAAACCTGGGGCTGGAGAGATGGCCTAGCAGATAAGAGCACTGGCTGCTCTTCCAGAGGACCCAGACCCAGAACCCACATGGCAGCTAACGACTGTCTGTAACTCCAGTTCTAGGGGATCCAGTGCCTCCTCCTGACATCTGCAGGCACCAGGCATACACACTGTGCACATACATACATGTAGGCAAAACACTCATATACATACAGTAAGTCAATCTTTAAAAAAAACATTGATAGCATAAACACTCTGGGGTAGTGTGTTGACACTGGAGAGCAGCAGAGCTCTGAAAAGGCGGGGTCAATCCTTAGCATCTGCCCTACGAAGTCAAGTGGGGTGGTCTTTGCCTCTAAGGGTCTCTGATTGGAGGTGGTGCCAAGGATGTCGATACCTGTATTGACTATCTTCTTTATCATTTTCAGGAGACTATAAACATGTTTGAAAGAAACATCACTGACTTGGTGGGACTATTTATTGAAAATGTCCAAAGTCTATATCCTTCCTGTGATGGGCCCTACCTCACCCCATGGGAAGGCACCACCGACTCCTGAGGGTTGTCTTGGCCGCTAGAGCAGCTAGGGTGAAGGTGCCTAGGCTTTTTTTTTTTCTCTCTCTTTCTTTTTTTTTTTCCGGAGCTGAGGACCGACCCCAGGGCCTTGCGCTTGCTAGGCAAGTGCTCTACCACTGAGCTAAATCTCCAACCCCTAGGCTTTTTAACAAAAAGCAAAGGCCAATAAAGCCTCTTCAGAAATTAAGAGGAGATCAAGGGATAGCTCAGAGGAGAACTTGCTTAGCAGGTGTGAGCCCTGGGTTCGATCCCCAGCACTGAAGAAAAAAGAAAAAGGGTAAGTAGAGACTAGCAGTGTGTGAACAAGCGGTGTGTGTGTGTGTGTGTGTGTGTGTGTGTGTGTGTGTGTGTGTGTGT